GGCATGGCAGGGTATGATATGACAGCTGTCATAGCCTACCCTGCTCACCCAGTAAGTCTGTTTGTTTAATTAATTCTTTCATTTCAAAATAAATATTTTAAACACTTAAGACAAAAAGGAAGGAATAATAAACTGGCTTGGGTATATATAGGCCTATAATGTTCAGGCAAGAACTGTCATTTTGACTGACAACCGGAGAACCCTCAGTATACCTTCAGAATGCTTGGAATATACGCCACGAGATGCATATGATTATTTTATGACAGATATGCATCCGCTTAAAAACAAAAAACAAAACCTAAAGTCACCATTCTCTGCCATTAAATTGGCAAGTGCGAGCAGGACATTTTGTGTTATTAAGTAATAAGACTTTAGAACAACATTAAGGTGAGTAGTCACTCTAGTTCACACAGTTCCAATAAATTGCGATGAGTTAAATAAACTCAATAGTTTGTTCGACAGACGCGACTACAGTCAAGCGCAGAAGTGCACAGGAAATAAGCAGCAGTCATATTTAAAGCAGTTTAAATTAATATTGAGTTTCACTTGGATTTTTTCCCCATCGAGGGGAAATAACTTCATACTCATTTATAGTCATATGGTAAAATGTATATTTTTATTTGTGTAACGTTACGTTCAAAATAACTACAAAATGCCTTTGTACGAGTTGTGTCGAGCTATTCATTAGTCTGTTTGATGAGAAAAATATGAAATGTAGTTGCAATAAAATGGGTAATTAATCCATACAACTGCAGCAGTGGAGGACTATTATTCTGCTGCATGATACTGCGGAAGAACTGATGACGGCATGGTTTGATCTTTGGCTGATCAATCATCAGAAAGGGGTGTTTAATTCCCGCCCACGTGTAGAAATCAAATATTCAAGCTGTTTATTCATTTTTCTACCCCTGAGCGAAAAAATAAAATTTTAACTGAATTCTCTTTTTTAAATTTTTGGAAAAAACCCCCGAAAAACCTTGATTAGCTCATTCAGGTGTGTTTGATTAGGGTTGAAGCAAAACTCTGCAGGGCTGCGGCTCGCCAGGACCGACGTTCGCCACCCCTGGGCTTATAAGTACAGCACACACCACATAGAATAACGCTGCGCATTTCAAGGCGCTTCAGTGGACCTTAATAATGTTACCTGTTTTGTCAATTTTTAAAATTATTTTAAAATTTTTAAATTTATTTCAATAAAAAAGTACGACAGGCTTTTACTCAAGTCTTTATCACTTTATTAAAATTAAGCAAAACAAAACGACAAATGTTACTTTCACAAGCCGTCAAGTATAGGCTTGTAGTAAGCAATCAGGTAACAAAAATGTCGGGAAACGACACCTCTGGCCATTCCGTCGGATCGTTTGTCCAGTCACAGATCGTACGGACAGTCCGACCCAATACGGCTCAGTTTTTCTACGTATGTTACTCTGTCGAGCGGCAGAAATGATTTTATGTAGGCCATTCTGAGTCCACACCATGCTTTTCCAATGAGGGGGAAAGGACTGTTTTCCCCCACGCCGACCCCGCTCACACAGCTATGACTCGACACCGATCAAGTCTATCCGTTTAGAGACAATCAACTTTTGATAAACTCATTTTGAAAACTTGAAAGACATGCGCGAGAATATTTATAGAAAAAAACTGCAGTTCCGTAAAAACAAGTACACAAGAAATAGGATATTTTAAAAATACTACTAAAATGGTTGCATTTTGTTATGCTTTCAGATTAAATAGCCTACTGGATAAGTAAGCCTGTACAAAATCCACAAATGACAATATGATTACCTTTAATTCTATAGCCCAGTATTCTATACCCATACTAATATTAACCATGCTTTTATTACAAATAGGCAAAAAAACAAAAACAAACCTGGTAACCACAAAATGAACCATGGTTATACGCTAACCATAGTTTAGGCAAAATCTAACCATGGTGTTTGTAGTAAAACTGTGGTTATACAAATGTAAACACTATGCCAAAATCCAATGGTTACTACACTTTTACTATAATAAATGGTTATTTTTCATTAGGGTAATATTTAGTGGGCTGTACTATTAAGATAATGTACATAATCCTTACGATTTTATATATCAACTGTAACGCTAATGTTTTGTTTGTAGTTTACTAATTTTTCAAAATCTTAAGCTAGCTGTTTCTGTTTTTCAGGTGTGTACAGCGAGACGAAAAAAGTGCCAGTGAAGGAGGGAGATTCTCTCACTCTACACACTGATGTCACTGAAATACAGAGAATATTTTTCTTGATGTGGATGTATGGATCTCAAAACAATATTATCGCTAAAATTGATGGGAAAACGCAGACAGTCACATTATATGATGTTGATGATGGGAGGTTTGAAGACAGACTGCAGTTGGACAATAAGACTGGATCTCTGATAATAAGCGACATCAGAACCAAACACTCTGGAGATTATCATCTAAAGATCATCAGCAACGAGACCTTCCTCAAGACATTCAGTGTTACTGTCCATGGTGAGAAGCTCAGATATTTTTATACTATTTTTATGTTTCTTTTCCTTACTCCTCGCTCCTGTTTGTTTTCCAGATGTGATTTTTGCCGGGTTAGAAAACAAGAAAGAAGGGGATTCTGTTACTCTACACACTGGTGTTACTGATTCACAGAAACATGATCTAATACTGTGGACATTTGGACCTAAGAATCCAGACAGTCTTATAGCTGAACTGAACATGAAGGTTCATGAGATCACATTTAGTTCAGAAGATATATACAGAGGGAGACTACATCTCGAAAATCAGACGGGATCTCTCACCATCAGAGACGTCAGAACCACAGACGCTGGAGTTTATCAACTACAGATCTCCAACAGTAAAGAAACACTATACAAGAGATTCAACATTTTTGTCGGTACGACACGTTTATGTCAAATCGCATTAAAAGAGTGTAATTTAGATGTTCCCTCATAATGAAATCTTTCATGTGTTTGACTGTCTCTCTTCAGCTGTTCCAGATCCAGGACTGTCTGCTGGTTATATTGTGCTGATTTGTCTTTGTATCCTTCTGTTAGTGACTGCAGCTTTGGGTGTGATGTGCTACATGTTAAAATACTCTAAAAAACAGAAAGGTGAATGTTATCTACAGCAAATATAGGAGTAGAATTGTTTAAAAGAGAAATTAGTTACCATGTTTTCTTCTAGACTGAACCACAAATTGTTTAATTCAAAGCCTATGATTGTTTAAGGAGACAACAATTTAGCAGAAAAAAAATCTACTTTTTGTGTGATAAACAGTCTTGGAATTATTCTTGTTCTTACTGAAGAAAGATTAAAGGAAGTTCTAACACCCTAAATGCATTTAAAAAGTGACTTAAAAACCAATCAGATCACTGTTCAGTAAATTGAATCAAACTTCAAACAAAATGGCTTATGAATCAAATTGAAAGTTTTGGAGCAGATCTACTGTTTCTAATGGGACTCAATTTACAGTAGTTTATTAATTCACCAAAAAATAGATTTTTGAATAGTTGAACAATGAAACATTTTATATCTTCCCCATTCACTTGATGTTGAGACAGAAAAGAAGGCCGTGTCAGTGAAGGAGGGAAATTCTATAACACTAAAAACCGGTGCAGTCGAGATCCAGAGAGACGATGAAGTGGTCTGGATGTTTGGACCTCAAGAATTGGTTATTGCAGAAATCCACAAAAATGCCAGTAACATTTCATACCCCAATGTTGAGCAATTCAGAGACAAGCTACAGCTGGACCATCAGACTGGAGATCTGACCATCAGTGACATCAGGATCCCAATCTCTGGAGATTATCAGCTACAGATCACTGGCAGTAAAGCGACAAAAACGAAGAGATTCAAAGTTATTGTACGAGGTGCACAACTCAAGCGCTTCAAATATCCTACAGTATTGTCTGTCAATATGTTACTTTATTTTTTTTTGACCTTCATTGGGCTCCTTAGTGGGTTTTGAATTGTTCACCTCCACATTCACGTCAGCATGTTTTATGTGTTTCTCTTTCTTTATGAAATGAAGAGGACACACGGAAATTCACAGAAGGAGAATATGTCCGTCTGCAAACCGGTGTTACTGAACTTCAGAAAGATGATGAGATACTTTGGAATTTTGAGCCTAAAAATGCCCTTATAGCCAAAATTGATGGACAGACCAATAAGAGCACTGTCTATGATGTTGGAGATGATGGATTCAGAGACCGACTGGAGCTGGACGATCGAACTGGAGATCTCACCATCACAAACACCAGAAGCACAGACTCTGGAGTTTACGAACTGCAGATCAAGAGCAGCAATAAAGTCTTGTACAAGAAATTCAATGTTCTTGTTTGGAGTGAGTAGCTCAAAATAATAAAAATATCGATTACCGTATTCATGTTCACATTCACACATTTCTTCTACATGTTTCTCTTGCATCGGCAGTGAATAATCTGAAATATACAGTTGGAGATTCTGTCACTCTACAAACTGGTGTTACTGAGCTGAGGAATGATGTCAGGATACTGTGGAAGTTTAGCGATAAAGACACTTTCATAGCTGAACTCAACCAAGCCACCAATCAGACCAAATTATATGAAGGTCCTGATGGGAGATTCAGAGACCGACTGCAGTTAAACCAGCGAACTGGAGATCTGACCGTCAGGAACATCAGCAGAGCTCATTCAGACATTTATACACTTCAAATCACCAGCGGCAAAAAGAGCATATGCAAGAGATTCATGGTTATTGCCCACGGTGAGTAACTCAGTCGTATTTATGACTGGTTTAATGATTTAATGCTATAATTAAAAGATAAAGATGCAAACAACTTGAGAAGACAGAAAAAAATTGTATTATGTTAGTCAGATTTTCATTGGTGCATCAGAAATTAGGGGTATTTTACAGTAAAGTGCAATTTTTCAAAATAGAAATAAAGTTAAAAACTTGTTTCATTTGAATACATTTAGCCTATTAATCTAATTTATAAAGAAATTAAAGGGGTCATATGATGTTGCTAAAAAGAACATTATTTTGTGCGTTTGGTGTAACGAAATGTGTTTATGCATTTTAAGGTTCAAAAAAACACATTATTTTCCACATACTGTACATTATTGTTGCTCCTCTTTGCCCCTCCTTTCTGAAACGTGTCGATTTTTACAAAGCTCATCTGTCTGAAAAGCGAGGTGTATGCTGATTGGCCAGTTATCCAGTGCGTTGTGATTGGCTGAATACCTCAAGCGTGTGACGGAAATGTTACACCCCTTACACCCTTGCACCCATATTGTGATGCCCTGTCCGGCCGGAGCGACAAGACAAAAACATTGGCGTTATGCAAATCTTCCCACATCGTGACGTAGGTATGTGGGGGCGTGTTAGAACAAGGCGTGTTAGGCAGGTGTGGCTGACTCTTAACTTTTATAAAGAATATCTCTTTGGATTTGAGACTTTAGTCTTTGCAACTTTACAGATCTTCTTTATGCACCAAGAGCTTGTAACACTCCAAAGAGAAAGGAAAATTTGAAATCGCATCATATGACCCCTTTAAACATTTACTACGGTATGATCAGCAGACACACATTTTGCATATCAAATTTATACCATAAAAGTGGATTTACGTATTGTTTAAAATTATTGCAGCAAAGAGGTGATATAAATGTACACAGGAATCTTTTGAACAGAAAAATACGAAAGGCAGGTCATGCTTAAAATGTGTACAGCTCCAATACAGTTCTTTCTTATGTGCAAAACAAAAATCCATCATCTTGCCCTCTAATTAATCAAACGGGACTTAATTTTGTTATATCATTCATGTTTTTACTCTTCTGTGTGGTGCTGGGATAAAATTAAAGAGAAGACTGAGTCTGGAATGGAGGGAGGTTCAGTCATGCTACACAACAATACTGAAATACAAAAAGATGATCTGGTGCTGTGGACGTTTGGACCCGAAGACAGTCTCATCGCTAGAGGTGAAATAAATAAAGCACGTTTCTGTACATATGATGGCAATGAAGGGAAATTCAGAAACAAACTGAAACTGGATCATCGGACTGGATCTCTGACCATCACAAACAGCACAACTGAACACACTGGAGTTTATAAACTATTGATCATCAGCAGCCGAGAGACCAAATACAAGAGATTCAAAGTTACAATCCATGGTGAGTAACATGGTGACCTAATTTATTTGGGCTTTATTTGGAAATCACATACTTCCGCTTTAATTTAAATAATTACATTTCAAAATATTCAATTTCGATTTAATTTCCATTTCCAGAATACTTTGATTTTTTTAATGTGATTATCTTTGCACATAAATATCAACTTTTTAACCTTTTGTGTTTTCTTTGTTTTCTTTCAGGGAGTGAAAGAAATCCAGATGGGGGGCCTGAGCAGGAGGGGATCCACTTAAAGGGGTCATCAGATGCCCATTTTCCACAAGTTGATATGATTCTTTAGGGTTCTTAATGAAAAGTCTATAACATACTTTGGTTAAAACTTCTCAATGGTGGTGTAAAACAACACCCTTTTTACCGTCAAAAACAGCTCTTTTCAGAGCAAGCCATTTTCTTGCATGTCTCTTTAAATGTTAATGAGCTCTGCTGACCCCGCCCCTCTCTTC